GGGTTAGGGAAGAAATTCTGTAGAACCTTCCCCAGACCCTCACATCCTCCTCCTTCCCCAGGCCCTTCAAGTCCCCCATAAGACACACCTGTACACACAAATCACACAGACATGCACATGAAACACATACCAACCCAAACAGATACACACACATACACAGATACACACACACACACATACACACACAGATCATATCAATGCCTGGGGCCCTCTTGAGGGCTGGGGTTTCCTGTCTTCTACTACCTTCCACCACCAGTTTTGACCTATTAGGATTAATTGTACACGGAGTGGCCAATCTTTGCATGGCCCCAAGAACAGTATAATGTGTGGACAAAGAGGGGGCCACATGCTAACCTGACAAGCTCAGGTAAGGCCTGCCTGGCAGTCTTGCAAAGTCAAAGATCTAAAGTAACCATAAAGGATGGTCTGAAATTAAAACTTTAACAAAAAGCAATTTATAGCAGGTAATCATGTCATAGGCCAGTATCTTTCCTGACAAAGGTCAATCTTTACCTTCAGTGATCCTATTGTGTTTTTGCATCTAAGATAACATACCTGTGAAATGTCAGGGTAATTTGTAACTTCCCTTTTTCCAGACCCCTCAGGGCACAACCAAATGCGCCTGGATGCCAGGAAGGAGACCATAAATTCCTCCATTGTTATTGTTATCCTGCTCATAGTTGACTGTTAACTATCTTATACTCACCTAAGTAAAAGATGGTATATGTCAAGATTAAAAATGGCGGCAGAGTAAGTGGATGCTGCACAGACATGCTCCCAGGAACAAACTAAAATTACAACTGAAATAAAGAAAAACTTCATGAATAATCAATGGAAGACTCGATGGAGAGAACCCATATAACCAGGACCAAAAGTGGAGACTGCAGAGAGACTGGTAGGAGAGGCGGAGGCACAGAAGTGCTGGCCAGGCTCCCACAGATAGCAACTGAAGTTCTAGAGAGATATCTCAGCTGACAGGGGTTGCCACTGAGAACTCTGGGGTCTAATCTCCAAGATGGGCCCCACAGCAGAGAGCACCAAAACTGAGAAGGGACCCACAAAACATCTGCCTGTGAAAAGCAGCAGGGTTGCTGTCTGCCAGGGAGAGACAGTTGGAAATTCAGGCACCCTCCTCCTAAAGGGCCAATGCACAAAATTCCCAGTAGGCCACCCACCTTGTGCTCCAGCAGAGGGAGGGCAGAGTGGACTGGAGCTGTGTAAGCAGAAGCCAGGATTGGGGATCCTGGGGTTAGAGCTCAGAAGGCAGACACCCCGGTTTCATGTGCTGAGTCATTCCCTCACACTGCAGAAATCATCTTTCTCACATAGACATTTGCTATACCGGCAGCCTTGCCTGGGGGGAAGACAGTTGACCCACCCTATTGGAAAACAATTTGCCCTAAGGTGAGGAGATGCTGAGGCCTATTAAGAGACTGAGAATAATTAGCCTCTAGGCAGAAGCAAATGCCCCACCCTGATGAAAAACAAAACTTTTGCCACATGTGAATACAATTGCCTAAGGGCAATACAAGATGGATTCCTCTCACATGATAGTCAGAGGTGGTCTCTGGTGGCTTTGAGTCTTTGCCTGACCTAATTAGTCAGAAAATGTTTGACACTGTCCTGCACTAGAGATTGAGAGGCATAACAGATCTACCTAATATATAGTCTATCATTTTACTTTTTATCCAATCCCAGAGGTTTCTCCACTTTGCTTTCTCCTGCCTTCCTAACCTATCACCAATGGATTTCATGTAACCCACTTATCTCCTCTTTTGATTGTAATGTATAAAACAAAGTAAAAAACTGCCATTCTCTGGAGCTTTATCCCAATCTATTGAGATTCTGTTTCCCAACAATTGTTGACAGTTTGGCTCAAATAAACTCAAAAAAATTCTTTACAGGTTTAAATGTTTTTATATGAACAAATAGCAGCAAGAAATGGCTTGTATAGCCTTGGGCATGCATGCACAGTTAGCACTGGACCCTGCCAAAGTCCATTTCAGCTCAAAGTTTCCAAGTCCGAACCCCAGCCCAGGCCCACCTAGCCCATCCCAGGCGTTGCCATGATAAAAACTATTTCTCCATGGTTCCCATTGTCAGGACCATGAGTGACAGACAGCCCAACCCAACGTCCTTTCTTCTGGGAGTCCCATTTGCAGCACACCCTGTTAGGCCTTCTGTGTTAAAACCAGCACAGTCCTGATCAAATGGAGAAGGTGCAGGCACTGAGGGGATGTGGGGAAGGATCCTCCATCCCTAGGCCTGGCACATGGCTTGGGACAGAGGAGGCATGGACCCAAGCCTGCGAAGTTCTGCGAGCCGAAACTTCCCTCACTGCTCCGCCTCATGTGTGGGGAAGTGCTGGTGGGGAGAGGGCTCTGTGGCCAGCTGGGAACTATCCAGGGAAAAGGCTCAGAATGAAAGTGCCCTGGTCTCTGAGGAGGGAGGAGGAAATTCCCTCATTGGTTTAAAGAGGCTGAGGCTCAGGAGCCCCACACAGAGCCTGGGGTGGGGAAGGAGCCAGGGAGCAGTTGAGAGCCGTGCCAGATCAAGGGTTTGACTTGTACTCAAACCCTTGCCAGGGCACAAACACTGGGCAGAAGGGCACAGGGGCAAATGGCTTTAACATCTGTTGCGTGGAACTCCTGCTCCCAGGGACCCGGAGGGCAGACCTGGAGGGGAGAGCTGGAGTGTTATCCTGTGTGGCCTGAACTGGAGCACACCTGATCCTTCAGACCTGTCCCAGGGGACAGGCTCTGCTCCCCAGGGGTCCTAGCTGGAAGCTATGGGCCGGCCAAGGTCTCAGAGGCACCAGAGGTTTGAGTTACATTGGCCTGACAAGGCAGGTCCTGTGGAGGTCACCTGACCCAGACCCCTCATTTGACAGGTACAAGACCAAACTCCAGGGAGGCTGAGTCAGTAGCTCAGGGCAGCACATTTGCGGGTGGTTAGAGCCCCAGACTCTCCACCACCGGGTGCCACAGCCAGAGGGACCTTGGCAGGGGAAGCTGAGGAACCTGGGCCCAGCCTGTTAAGCCCCTGCCGTCTGGGGGCCCCCTGCGCCCTCCGGAGCCAGGACTCCGCTCTCCATCCTGTGAGCCTCCAGCTCGGTCTCTCCAGCACCAACTCACGTGAAACCATTCAGCAGGTCCCAGACTGCTCTCCCGGGGCCTCCGGGCACTGTGCCAGCTGTGCCGCCTCTCCCTCTCCCAGCCTTGGCATGTGTAAGAAAGCCAGCCTCACCCTCAGGAGTAGGAGGCTACCTTCCCAGAGGTGGGGGAGTCGAGGTGCAGTTTACAGAGTCGCAGGGGCTGCAATCAGTTTAGCAGGAAGCAGGGGCCAAGGAAGCAAGGGCCGAGGGTGCGGATAATGCAGATGTATTCTGGGCTGCCTGAGTGGGGAGGTCGGGAGGGACCCAGGATGCTGAGGGAGGCGGGAGAGTGGGGGGAGGTGCAGGTGGGTTCTCTTTTGAAAGGGCAGAAGCGAGAGAAAAACAATGGGAAGACTGAGGGAAACCGTCTTCTGTTTTGTCCTACTGTGGGGGAGCCCAGCACTTGCAAAAACAAAATGCAGGAAAGAGCCTGAGGAACGTTCTGAGGGATGACAGGGCTTCCCCTGTTCGCAGCAGCCCTTCTAGGAAAAGCAGGACCGAGCAATGGAAGAGAGAAGGGCTCTCCCCGGACAGGGCAGCCAGGAGCCATCCAGGGACAGCCTCAGAGGCTGGCAGTGTGCCCAGGCCGGTGAGATGCTGAGTCCTCGGGAGGAGACCACAGGCCTCCCGCACACAGAGAGGCCCCGACTTACTCAACAAGAGGCGCTTGGAACTTGCTTAGCGTTTACCAACCCTCCTGGTGACTGCTCCCAGCAGACCTGCAGCCCCTCCCGGATCCAGAGATAATGCAGGAGGCCCTGGTTCAGGACACAGAAGCAGACCCTCCAGGAATGAATATTCATTTCTACCACTCCTTTAAACGTGCTGATAAACTCATGGAAACACTGTGCTATTGCTACAGGCTAATTGCACTTCCTTGGGTAAGCACCATAAAAAATCCATTGCAGTTTTTAGAAACAAGATGCCAATTGCATTTCAATTGCTCAAGAGAGGGGCCCGGAGAAGCTTAACCAGGAAAGTGCTGAGCATCACCGCAGAAGGAAAGCTCCCCAAGCCCCAAGGCTGGGTTCTGGAACAGGAGCTAAGAGCTAAGGAGAGATTGGTCTTGTGGGGAAGCCAGAACTCCCTGAGACAGCAGACTTACGTGTTTCTCAGACTTGCATCATCTCAGCACCAAGGAGGCTGGGCAGCATCCTACACGCAGATTTAACAAATGTAAAGAATTAAAGATAAATACCTCATGATTTCACTCATTTGTGGAATATAGAGAACAACATAGACTGATGAACAGGGACAGATCCAAAGACAGAAAAACAGCAACCAAACTATTAATCCCCAGAGGGAAAGTAGGGGAGGGAGGGGGCAAGGGGAAGAGATCAACTAAAGGACTTGTATGCATGCATATAAGCCAAACCAATGGACATGGACAACAGGGGGATGAGAGCATGAGGGGGGGGGGGGCATGGGGATTTAATGGGGGGGATGAGGACACATTTGTAATACCTTAACTAATAAAGAATTTTTTAAAAAAAGAATTAAATAAGTACATGCCAAAAGTCTAGAGAGATGAGGAGTCAGTTCCAGAGCTTTAAGAAACATGTATGAAAGGGAAATTGTAATTCTACCCATTAGAGAGAGAGAGAGAGAGAGAGACTGAACGGTGACCATACAACCCTTTTATTAAAGTTCCTTTAATAAAAGAACTCCTTGGACCAGTTCACAGAACTGTCATTTAAAACCAACTCCCTATTCCAACACCAACCAGAGTGTCCTTCCAGTGTCCCCACTCCTACCCCTGCCCCAGCAGGGCCAGTCAGAGCCAGGTAAGAACAGGAAGTAGGTGAGACCAACCGTGGAGAGTGGGGAGGATCCTGACTCCATGGGCTTAATCTGGACTGTCCAGCCTTGACCCCATCTTCCCAGGAGCCTCCAGGGCCAGGGGCTCTTCTAAGGAGGCACTGCTCTCACCACCACCCACCTGAGAGCACAGGGAGGAGGCAGGCCCCGGGTATCCCTGGGCATCCTCCCAAGTGATGGGCACAGAGGCTGGGAGGGGAGAGGGCAGAAGGCAGCTTCCAGCTGCTTCCAGCAGCCTATTCCTCTCCAGCTCCTCCCCCATGTCCATCGGCTCCCCCATGGTCCCAACCTTGACCATCCTTCCTCTTGTCACTGGGGCTCTCTGGTGAGATAGAGGGTCTAGAAATCAGGGCCCAAGGGGAGAGGCCCTACCCCCAGAGGCTGGCCAGTGGGTGGCCACTGTGTCATGTGCGGTAATAGGATACATGTATCCATATCTTCTGCATCAGGGTCCGCTTCTCCTCCATCTGTGGACCTGCCAGAGACCCCAAAACAGGAGGCTGCTCTGCAGTGAGGAGGAGGAAAGGGCAGGGCTGGGGGAGGGAGTCCTGAGCTGACAGAGAAGGGAGCTGGATCCCCCCACTAGCGGAGTAACTTTTATTTTAATAAATCACTTAACCATTCGGAACCTGCATTTCTACTTCTATCAAGTGGGCTAACAATACTCGCTTCTCTGGGCTTTTTGTAAGGTTTGAGTGAGGAGTTGGAGGCACGTGTCCCCCGTAATCCATCAAGCTTGTGTTCCGCCACCCACCCCGTGCCCGATCTGCAGAGTTTTCCCTCGCCACGCCCTGCCTTTGTACCGTACTGGATACAAATAACGTGTTTCTATACACATTATCTCACTAGGCCCTCCCTCGGAACAGATGGAGGTGAGTGACTTGCCCAGTGTCACACAAGAATGAGTTGCCAAACCCAAACTGCTAAACGCTGAGCTCTGCCCCCAGCGAGGGGAATGCAGGCACTCGTAGCTGCCTTAGAAACCAGGGGCGAGTGGTGGTCATCAGTACGTCCATAGAGAAGCCCGGGCTCCCTCGCTCCAACCTAGGACTCCGCAGGCCGTGTACAGCTCTTGCCATATTTGATCCTCACGCTAGCTAGCATGCAAGGGCGCCACGATGGCTATTACCCGGCAACGGAGGGTTACCAAGTTAGGAACTTGCCAAAGGTCACCCGGTCAGTGGCAGGTCGGGGCTATCGCACACACTCAGGTCTGCTTTCCCCCCGGCAGGGCTGATGTGGGCAGAAATCCAGTGGATTCAGTGTTCTCTGCATCATTTCCTTTTCCTCTTACTCTGGGGAGCGTTCCTCTGCCCCTCCCCCACCCCAGCCAGGCCCAGGCCTAAGGGGTAAGGGCCACAGTTTCTGAGGGGCAGGTCCTTTACAACCCCCCCCCCTCCCCGCCCTGGCCCCACACTCACCCGCACCATGTCATGGATCCAGTCCAAAAGCTCAGCAACCCTGGCATAGACCCCAGGGTGCTTGGGCTCTGCACAGCCTCGGCACCAGCTGACCACCCCCCCAAGGCGTCACGTGCCCCCATCTGGGCACACCAGGTCCCCCCTTCCCTCCAACCCTCCCCCCCACCCCCGCTATCCCCCTGAAGGGTCCAAGCACAGAGACCAGAGAAACAGGCAGGCAGTCCTTCCAGGTGAAGGGGCACCAGGCCTTCCCGGGGAGCAGACCCTCCATTCTGGCCCCTCCTGCTTCCAGCATAGATCCCGTGTTGCCTCAGCCTCCTAGACAGGCTGCTCAGACCAGGGACCCAGCCCCAGCAAGACCTCACCCCCACCTTCCTCCTTGGCCCCCTTGCTGCCACACCTGGCAGGCATCAGCCCTCCTGTCCAGGTAGCTGACACACAGCATGGGGGGGGGGGCACCCCCATTATACACGCAGGAGCTGTTGCAGAGCTGGGTGCTGAGCAGCAGCACTACCGTGTCCTTCAGCGTCTCCCAGCCATGGGCTGCGGGAGGCAGACGTGAAGATGAAGGGGCACAGAGCAAGGCCGCAGGGTGTAAAGCAAGGCCCAGGAACACGGAGGCCTTGGAGCACAGTGTCCCCAAGACTTGGGGGCTGGGAGTAAAGAGGAGTAGACCTCACTCACACATGCACCCCGAATGCTGAGGCCTGGGCACTGCTGGAACAAGGAGAGCAAAAGTACAGGGCCTGAGTTTAGGGCAAACTCAGGGGTTATTCTCTCAGAGAGACCCACACAGGGGAGACTGCCAGGGCTGGCAGGTCCTCCTCCCTTCTCAAACAGTCCTGGTTCTTGGTCTCCACCAGCCAGGCCTCCAGGGGTCTGTGTGGGTTGTGCCCTGTACCACCTCGAGGGTCCCACTCACACAGAGGACGATGTGTAGAGTGCAGTGGTATGGCGCCCTCTAGAGCTGAGTACAGGCTGCACACCTTCCACCCGGGCACTGAGGAAAAGTGCAAATTCTCCTGGGTGTTTGTACCCAGCTTGTCCTACTGTGAACTCATTTGGGGTTTTCCCCAGGGTGTTTTGGCTTCTTGGGGCATTGTTCCCAAAATGCCCGACAGGTGAAGCCCACACATGTTCTCAGGTAGAATGCAGGCATGCGTTAACTAAACACAGGCACCTGGGGAGAGAGTAGCTCCCTTTCCCTTCTCGTTCAGTCCTCCCAACCACGTCCAGGAGAAAGACTCCATCCGGTGCCCCTCTGTGCCTCTCTCAGTGCCTGTCACCCTGCACTGAAACACAGAGAGCAGGCCCGGCTGAGCAGTTCTGCTGGCAGCCCCTGGCGGGAGCCAGAACACTGTTCTGTTGCCCTGTGTGTGCTTTGTGGTGATCTATTCACTGGAAGTAACTTCGGCTCTCCAGTCAGGTAAGAACTTAAAACTCTCCTCTCAAGTATATTTAAGTCAATTTACAAACAGTCACTCTTGAACAACTGCTCAGAGAGTACCCACATATAATAACATGAAAGAAATGCAGCAACAACTTCTTTTCGGGAAACCCCAGGGTACAGGTAGCAGTGGGATGGAGGAGTGCTGAGTGTTTGCCGGTGTGGGCACATGAATGTGTATAGTGTGAGTGTGTGCACAGGAGTGAGTGTGTTCGGTGTGAGTGTGTGTGCAGGGGAGTGTGCATGAGTGTGTATGGAGTATTGTGAGTGTCTGTGGTGTGAGCATGTGTGCGTGGGAATGCACGTGTGCATGGAAGTCAGTGTGCGTGAGCACGTACTGTGTGAGTGTATGTGTTTATAGGGGAGTGTGCATGTGTACGTGTGTGCTGAGGAGCCCTGGCCCTGGAGTCACATGGACTTGAGAGTCACTTCCCTCACTAAACTTGGTGTCCTATCTGTCTACACCTGCCTCATCTACCTGACAGGACTGTTATGAGGAATGAGTGGAAGAATATTTGGAAAAATAGAAGAAATCTTATTAATTGTAACATGCCACAGGTGGCTGGGACCTGGCACCCGCCTGCAGACAGGGTGGAGCGGCTGTTGGTAGATGAAACAACCGCAAAGCTCTTCAAGGGACCTCCAGGCAAATCCCGCCGCAGCCCAGCATGAAAAGGGCCAGCCCTCTGTCCCCACAAGAGCAGGTGGGAGAGTTGGTGCAACATCAGGTCAGGTTGATGCTGAAGTTCACCATGGTCACCAAATGCACTGAATGCTTTACCGTTTACAGCGCTAGGAGGGACCCTCAGAAGTCAGCCCCGCTGCCGGCCCTCCCAGCGTGTGCCTCTCTCTCACCGCAGCCTGCACCTGCCGCCCAGGGCCAGCAACTCACCTGAGAAACTGAGCCGCAGGAGAGCAACATCGTAGTTGTAATTCTGGGCACTGTAGAGGGTGGGGGATGACCCTCTCCACCACAGGTCCTCATGGGGCCTGACCACACTGTGGCTGACCAGCCCCGCATGGACCCGCCAGCTGGACAGGCGGGCCAGCCTGAAACTGCACTCAGGAGCCACGCTGACCGGGGAAGCAAGGACAGAAAAAGTTGACGTGAGTGAGGTGGCAGGTGGAGGAGCCGGCCAGAGCGGGGACCCCCACCACAGATTGCAAGCTCCCAGAACCCATGCTTCTTAGTCTCCCCTCGCAGCTGGCAAGACACTGGGCATGCAGCCGGTGCTTAATAAGTGCTCTACTCCCGATGGATAGAGAAGGGAGACACTGTGAGTCATCTGCAGTTACCACCGCCTCGCTCCTGCATAGCTCTCTCCACTTTTCACAACAAACGTCGAAGGGCCTTGCGTGATATTCTGACTAAGCCGGATCCTTAGTCTCTTCTGGTTTCCCAAACCCTCAGCCTCCCGGCTCTCCTGGCAGAGTCGGTCCCACCCCTAGTCCCTGTGCCTGTTCAGGTGGCTAAGATGAGGAGACATCGGAGAAGGTGGTGCAAAGGTGTGAGGCTCTAGAGCGCTGGGGGATGCTCAGCCCGCAGCTGGAGGAAGTCCAGGCAAAGTGGAGACCTCTCAGCCCCTGCCCACACCCTTGATTTGGGAAGGAGTCCCCTCGACTCCAGAGCCCTCTTCTCTGGAGTGTCTCCAGGCTCCGAGCAGTTCTTAGCCAGTGCCAGACCTCTTTCCTTAGACATCAGAATTATCCAAATAAAAGGTGGCACTCAGATTGGAGATGGGAGCCTGGTTTCAACACTTGGTTTGGACGCTTATTAGTTGTGTGACCTTGGACAAGACCCTTTACCTCATCAAGCCTCCGTTTCCCCACCTGTAAAGTGGGAATAAGAGTACCGTGTGACATCCTGGGACAAGAACAACCTATCCTGCAGTTCTTGTGAGGGGCAAGTAGGGTAAGGTCTGACCCTCGGATGGGCAGGCTCGCGGATCTGAGTGCACAGTTTCTGGTCGGGAAATGTTCCTCTTTGTCCCCTTCCACAGCCAACATCATCACCCCCAGGCTCCCAGGACAGAAAGACTGTTGCTGGACTTCCCCCCGGGAAGTAAGGGACCCCACTCAACCTCCTCAGAAGCCCTACCTGGGCGGTCACACCTCCCCCGGGAGGCCTCCTAGGCCAGGGGAGAGCTGAGAAAACTGCCAGCAGCTGAGCTTGACGTCAGGCACATGAACTCCCTTGTGGTGGTGAATCTTGGCAGAAGAAGAGGAGAGAACAGAGGAAACAGCTTAAACTGCAGCATGCGTGGTGGGGTCAGTAACTAGACCGTGCACGAGATACTCCAGGATGGTGCTGGAGCAAGGCTGTGACCATGATCGCTTCTGGGATTTAGGCTTGTTCAAAAGCAGAGGTCCTCAGGGGAGAGACACAGTGCCCAGAGGCCAGGAGAGGCACAGAAGGACCGCCTGCCATTCCCTGAGCAGGCTGACCACCAAGACAGACAGAGGGCCCACTGCCTGCCAGCTCCCCCTCTCCCCAGGCCCAGATCGGGCCCCAGTCACCTGAGGTGTCCAAGGCTCTGGCAGATCCGCACCCCAGGGCAGGGCTCCAGCCCTGGCAGCAGACCAGGAGCCAGCCTGGTCAGGCTCCCACCTGCACTTCTAGCAGGAAGTCCTCCGTGTTTATTCTGAAAGATACTGAAACGGGGCATGACAGTCATGTCCCACCGGCCATGGGGGAAAGGCATGTGCCTAGAGGAAGCATATGCCATGGGGAAAGGTGTGTGCCATGGGGAGAGGTGTGCGCCATGGGGAGAGGTGTGCGCCATGGGGAGAGGTGTGCGCCATAGGGAGAGGTGTGTGCCATGGGGAGAGGTCTCTGCCATGGGAAGAGGTGTGTGCCATGGGGAAAGGTGTGCGCCATGGGGAGAGGTGTGCGCCATGGGGAGAGGTGTGCGCCATGGGGAGAGGTGTGTGCCATGGGGAGAGGTGTACACTGTGGGGGAGAGGTATGTGCCATGGGGAGAAGTGTGCGCTGTGGGGGAGAGGTGTGTGCCATGGGGAGAGGTGTGTGCCATGGGGAGAGGTGTGTGCCATGGGGAGAGGTCTCTGCCATGGGGAGAGGTGTGTGCCATGGGGAAAGGTGTGTGCCATGGGGAGAGGTGTGTGCCATGGGGAGAGGTGTGCGCCATGGGGAGAGGTGTGTGCCATGGGGAGAGGTGTCTCTGCCATGGGGAGAGGTCTCTGCCATGGGGAGAGGTGTGTGCCATGGGGAGAGGTGTGCGCCATGGGGAGAGGTGTGTGCCATGGGGAGAGGTGTACACTGTGGGGGAGAGGTATGTGCCATGGGGAGAAGTGTGCGCTGTGGGGGAGAGGTGTGTGCCATGGGGAGAGGTGTGTGCCATGGGGAGAGGTGTGTGCCATGGGGAGAGGTGTACACTGTGGGGGAGAGGTATGTGCCATGGGGAGAAGTGTGCGCTGTGGGGGAGAGGTGTACACCGTGGGGGAGAGGTGTGTGCCGTGGGGGAGAGGATTGTGCCATGGGGAGAGGTGTGTGCCGTGGGGGAGAGGTGTGTGCCATGGGGAGAGGTGTGTGCCGTGGGGGAGAGGAGTGTGCCATGGGGAGAGGTGTGTGCCGTGGGGGAGAGGTGTGCGCCATGGGGAGAGGTGTGTGCCGTGGGGGAGAGGTGTGTGCCGTGGGGGAGAGGTGTGTGCCGTCGGGGAGAGGTGTGTGCCGTGGGGGAGAGGTGTGCGCCATGGGGAGAGGTCTGTGCTATGGGGAGAGGTGTGTGCCATGGGGAGAGGAGTGTGCTATGGGGAGAGGTGTGTGCCATGGGGAGAGGTGTGCGCCATGGGGAGAGGTCTCTGCCATGGGGAGAGGTGTGTGCCGTGGGGGAGAGGTGTGTGCCGTCGGTGAGAGGTGTGTGCCATGGGGAGAGGTGTGTGCCTTGGGGGAGAGGAGTGCGCCATGGGGAGAGGTGTGTGCCATGGGGAGAGGTGTGTGCCGTGGGGGAGAGGAATGAGGTGGGCAGGGTCAGCTGGGCCTGGCCATTATAGATCTGAAGAGACCTTAAGGATAGTGTCTGGGTCACTCAGTGTCAGGCTCCCTGCTCCCAGGACATAAGGTCCGTTCTGAGAACAAAATAACCCTATTTGTGCAGCATTTCAGCTGTGTGTTTTAACCAAGGGCTTTTAAATGTGTTCCTTCACTCGGCATCATGCAGCCTTTGGGGTGTCACCATCCTCCCATTCCGAGAGGGAAAACTAAGGCGTGGAGGTTAAGCAACCTGCCCAAGGTCACATAACCTGCCCTTGACGATCCAGGACCAAGTCCTTGTCTTCTGGTTTCGAGTCTTGTGGCAATACTAGTGAGGGTCACCACTTACTGAGCATCTGTTCTTCCAGGCTCTGTGCTAGCCTCTCATATGTGAGCTCGGTTATCCTCACAACTTCATGCAGTAAATAGGTTTATCTCTATTTCACAGAGAAGGAACTGGAAGCTCCAAGAAGCAACATGCCCACAGTCACTCGGCTCCCAAAAGGCAGGCTCCAAGCTAGTTCTAACTTCTGTAACTGATTCTAACCAAGCCCCAGCAGCATCAAACCTTCTGACCTCAGCCCTTACCTAGAGAGGAGAGGCCAGTGTTGGGGGGAGGGGGAGACAATGCATAGTGATGTTCCCAGCCCGCAAGGGGGCCACTGGGCAGAGACCCCTGCCCGTGGCACGCTGTCTCCCACACACCGGGCTCCTCTTCCCCTCCACTGCTGGCTCACTCTGCCCCAAACAGCAAGCTGCCACCCCTTCAGCAGCCTGGGCTCCTGGCCCTGCCCCAGCTCGAGACCAAGACAGACCCTGGGAGTGCTGACAGCCCCATCAGAGAGCAGCTCCGCACACTGGCCGGTGTCACCACCCTCCCACCAGAGGAGGAGATGCAGATGGGTGGCAGGGGAGTCATGGCCCTTCATTTTGGTGTGCTTGCCCCCAGCCAGAAGGGGGTCTCAGAGTTGAGAAGGGTGGGATAGGGGTCCCCAGGCCTTGGGTGGCCCCCTGTGCTGGGAAGCGAGGAGGGCAGGGCTTCCTCACCCTTGGCCTCCGAGCAGCTCAAAGTCATCTCCTCATCTTGCAAGGTCCCGGGATGGGCTGCGAGGCCACTGGCCACAGACACAGCACTTCGGAGCACAAGGACAAGGAAAGGTCACAGAGAGGGGCTGGAGGAGGAAGAGATTCCCACAAAAAGGCCGAGGTGGCAGAGGGAGGCAAAAGCAGCTGCCTGGGGCCTCCTCATCGGCCCCCTGCCTGAGGCAGGTCCCCCACCCAGCACGCTGAGGAGAGGTGCAGCGCTTGCTGTCTTGTCTTGATGTTTGAGCAGGGCCTCCCAGGATCACTCACCCCAGTACCTTGCACCTCTCCCTGTCGGACTGGAATGCAGACCCTCCTGCTGCAGTTCCCCGTCTCCCCTTGTGCACCCAGAGCAGACAAGAAAGGCGCTCACTCATCTACCTGCCTTCGCCCCTGCTCACGTCTACTCCTCCTCCCAGCATCCCTTACAGCTTGTGCCCTGACCCTCCCCAGACACTGGAGGGCCCAGCGCTGACCTAGAAGCCACGAGCCCACACTCGCACCAGCCAGCAGTCCCCGGGCTCCCAGCACTGCACAGCCACACTGCCTGGAACACCAGCGCCCTGCCCAGGAGACTGTGGGGGAGGCAGAGCAGGGACTGGGTGCCCTGCTCCTGCCTGCCGGCCTCACCCCGAGTCACCACCACGGGGCCAGGCAGTCACTGAGCGGCAGCTTGAGTTTGTCCCACTGCTCCTGACACCTCTCCCTTCCTCCTCTCCCCCGAAGCCCACAGAGCCCACTCACTCCCAAAAATGGGAAATCAAGAGCAACGTCAGATCTAAGGTGAATAGCCAGATGGCCTTTTGCCATCAAGAATTTGGGGCTGACCTAAGGTGGGTCAGGGGAGGGGAGAATCAGGGGGCTCTCTGACCCTATTATTCCCCTACAGCCCAGTCTGGCCTACTGGGCCTCAGGCCTCTGCAGTGCGTCTCCTGGCTTTGCTCTGAAGATCCTAGGTCGGGGCCCTCCTCCGTGGGGGTCTGGCTGCCCAGCATCAGGCTCTCAAGACCCCCACAGCCTACTACAGTGCCACTTGCACATCAGTTGTGTCCTCACTGCTGCTGGCAAGCCCTGCTCCACCTTGGGGACTTCCCATGTGTTCCCCCGGGTGCTCTCCAGGCCTCTGCTCTCCCTGAGCCCCTAAGCCCACCCAGCTCACTCTCACAGCCAGTAGTCTCAGAGCAGAGGTCTGACCCAGGTTGGGCTGATTCCAAAGCTTAAGCTCTTCACCCCAAACCTTGTCTCCCACAAGCAAGGACATCTGCTGAATCCTTCAACATCCCTCCTCGGGCCTCACGATCCCACCCTTCTTTGTTCCCTCCTATCTCAGAGGAAGCAGTGCACCATCCACCCCTTCATTCAGGAAACAACATTAGCCCAAGTGAACAGGCCATGGTGGGGGATGCTGCAAGGAATTCAAGATGAATTAAGGTGGGCCTCCAGCACCACCGCCTAAAGGAATCAGCATGTGAGTCCTGAAGATGAGTCATGGAAACACAGCACAAGGTAAGGGAAAGGTTTGGAGTGGGCCGGGGTCACGTACCTATGACATGAGGCCATAATGTATCAAAAGAGATTTTAATTTCAGGCACCTGGGTGCAGGTGGGCTGAGTCCAACAAAAAGGAGTCAGCAGAGACTGAAGGAGGAGGCAGACTTTTATTAATCCTTGCTGGCTATAAGCCGTTCTGCTGATGTCCTTGGTTCCTCCCAATGCCAGGTTTCTTCTGGTTATCTGAGCTATGCGGTGTTCAAGACTGCAAGCTTTCTGCAAGATATCTGCTAAGCACAGCAAGTTTTTCTCTTCCCCATTTTATTCTCTTTAACCCTTTCATTCCCGTCTTAAAAGGTACATATAAAGGAAAAGAAGAGGGATGGGGTCGCCATTTCTCCTTTATTACTGCCTGCATGAGAGGGGATATCGTGGATGCCTAAGGAGTAAATTCACATTATTACCTGGGGTATAGGCTGGTAGGGTCCCTTTACCTGGGTAAGGACAAACTGTCCTACTGTCTGGTTAACTAGGACTTATAATCTTGTTTGTACAAATTTGGTAACTATCCTGAAAATGCAGGGCCTGAAGAGGAGGAGGAGGAGGAGAAATAGTTTCAGGGGGCCCAAAAGGGGTTAAACCCAGGTTAATTTGGGCAGAGCTGCTTGTAGGCTGGACCATATGGGATGCTCTATGCTGTCCTGACTGACCTCTTTGAGCCATTGAGTATTCTGTAGAATGCGTTGTGTTTTTTCCTTTATTTGACCTGTAGAGTTTAGATAAAAACAATAGGAGGAGTTAGCAATTAAACCCCTCCCTCTTTGGCTAAAGGGCTAGTAGGGGGACTATTTTAGGGATATAAGAGATCTGTGAGGTTCAGAAGCACTATGCAGGTAAACAGAGAGATGTGATCTGGAGAGAAATCCTGTAAATCACCCTGGAGCCAGAGGTCTGTAATGAGTTTGAAAGTATCTTGCACTGTTTGGACGGGAGAGTCTGTGCCAGGCAGGGGAATGTTGGCACTAACAATCTGCAGGAAAGTGGAAGCCTGGGTATATAACTTATTAGTCATTTGGCGGATATTCGAGAGGGGCTATTTCTTCTCCGGGAAGGCTAATGGAAAGGTAGGTTACCCTGGGGTGAGGTTCCTGTTTTCTCCAGTTTTGTCCCTTGCTAGGCTTCTGGAGCTTTCTTTTTTGGTGAGTTTTTACATCTGTACTTGGCCTATTGTCCTTGCTCTGGGGGTCAGGGGGACGATGAGGCCTGGGCACAAAAGGAAGTAGTGATGGTATCTAGGGGTGGTATTTCCTGAGTAAAAATAGGGCTTGTAACCTGGTGGAGACAAACTGTTTTATACATTTTAGTATTACTGGGGTAAAAGCTAGAATAATATGAGTTATGACAAATGGTCTAATGGAAGGAAAGAAACATTAGTTTGGAGGGTTGTAGTCTATTTTACCAAAATGAGGTTTATTCTCTATTTATTCCTAAGTGTCCTTGGTTTAGGGAAGATAGGATTTACTAGATTGCTGTGGACTGCTGTTTTACTATCTCAGTTTCCCTATTCTGCTTGTTCTGGCTTACTGGCCTGTGTTATTTATATAATTTCCTTTTAATAGTTCCCTCTACAAACCTTCTATAACTTTCACAAATCTTATTACAACTTTCATAAACATTCTTACAACTTTCTCACTTTCTTTTTCCTTTAAAAATGTATGTCCATGCCTTATGTCCTCTATTATTAAAACCATATAATTTCTAAACCTTAACATTCCAATAATAATCAAAAAGTAAACAGCCAGCATTTCTTAGATTGACATTTATGAACATTCTCACTTTTAGAAAATATATCTTTAAAAAAGCACAAGACATTATATTAACAGTTCTAAATTTACTTTATAGATTTTCTATAATAAAAGCTAAAATTAGGTGAACTTGAAACTTGAAATACTTAGTTGTTTATTTAATCCAGCAATGTTCCAAAGTTTTTAAATTGCAAAAGACTTTGGAAAATTATGTATAGGCATATGAGGCTGGAGAAAAGGCAGGGGAGGAGGAGGAAGTAGGCCCAGCAGCCTGTTCCTAAGCCTCTAGCTGCTTGGGTTTAAAACTGCTACATTTTCACCTAGAGATAACATGCTAAGGTTTGGGTGATAATGAGTTCAGCTTCTGATAGTAGCTGGACTGTTAAGTAAGCACTTGTAGTTTTGCAGTAAAGAAAGTTGTTCTTTGGGAAAAGGATGTGTGTGTGAGAGGCACTGAGGTCAGAGCAGTTTTCAGAGCATTAAAGGGGTGAGAATGCTGGCCTTGGGATCTAAAGGCTCAGTGAGGAGTCCTTCACCATGTCATGTAATAGAGGAGCTTTGTGAGAAAACTGAAGTTGGGAACTCAGAGGCAAGAGCACCTAGTGAGCCCGAGAAAGGAGACTATTTCTTGTGTCGAGGAGGGGATAGTCATGGAGGAGATAAGGCCCCTCTCAGCTCTGCCAGCCAGGTACCAGGTTACCATGAAGCTGTGGCAGTAACTGATTAATTAAACTAGAGCCCACTGAATGCTTTATTGACCTGAAGCTCCTCCAATGAGCAGGCCCCTTGGAAGGTGGCTGTGTTCATGGCTGTTAACAGATTAAATAAAATGGACAAAGGCTATGAGGGACAACAGGAAAAGTCCTGTCACTGTAAACCAAGTGTCTACAGCACAGCTGCTGTGTGTGACCTTAGATTTATCTGATGTTATAGGCTGAACTGTGCCCCATCCCCTCCCAATTTATATGTTAAAGTCCTAACCCCAGTGCCTCAGGGTGTGACCATATTTGGAGGAAGGGTCATTGCAGAAGTAATCAAGTTAAAAGAAGCTCATTAGGATGGGCCCTAATTCAAGATGACTGGTATCCTTTAAAAAGGGGGAACTTGGACAGAGATACACACACAGAGGGAAGATGACCTAGAGAGACAGAGAAGATGGCCACCTATAAGCCAGGGAACAGATCCTTCCCTCGTATGGCACCAATCCTGCCAACACCTTGACTTTGGATGTCTAGCCTCTGGACTAGGAGGTGATGCACCTGGTCTCTAAGCCACCCAGTGTCTGGCACTCTGCTATTGTAGCCCTGGCCAACGAACACATCTGAGACATAGAGGCAGAACAACCCCTGGACTCAAACAAACCTGAGTTGGGGCCCTGACTTTGTATTACCCATTGTGTCCTTGGGCAAGACACTTAGCCTCTCGCAGCCTTGATTCCTCATCTGTCAGATAGGGACAATAATATCCTCCTCACAGGCGTGTTCTTAGGATTAACTGTGAAAACATACAGCTTTGATTTGTTCAGATCCAGGTTGCATATGGCCCCTCAGCAACTAGGGGTAGTTGCAATGTAAATTCTGACCAGCTACCAAATGCTGATGACAATGAGTCACTTTGCAAAGGAGCTGTAGGACAGAAAAAAGGGCCTTTCTTTTTCTTTGCTGTGGCCTTCCACAATTTATGAGAAGTACCTGGCCATTAAACCCAAGACTGTTAGCTCCTCTGATTCAAACAACCCCTCTGTTCAAACTGAAAGACAAGATAAGCTACTCTCAAGGCTCTATTTTTGTATACCCATCCTCCCTGCTATTTTTACAATTCAGGGATAATTCGAACCAAGGAGTCTATAGTCAGTAAAAAGTTCTCTTCCCACTCTCCTTCAAACAAGCCTCTTTTGAATTCATCGTAACTTTTGCTCTAAGTATGCCTTATAGGCTTGGGGAAAATACTGATAAGACACCTCACTATGACATCTGCTGGACTGTCTTCCTGAAAAGCAAACTAACTTTTCTTTTTCTTTATTTTTTCATTCAGTGATTGCTATTTCATTTTATTTATTTACTCAAATGCTCACTTTCTCGATTACTGAAGTTGCTTCTCATTTCACATCCCCTTCTTCCTCTTATTCCCACCCATCCCCCACTGAATAAACTAAGGCAAAATCATTTGTAAAAACGTCACAATTTACATTATCACCTATCTAGATTTCTCTTTCAAAATAATTATGAATTTGTGGCATTTTAAAGGGCTTTCAACTTAAACAATTCTGAAATTTTTCATAGAGTCTTCCAGATGTTTTTTTCTGAATGGAAACTTTGTTAGCCTATAATCTGTCAGGACCTAAAAAAATATTTGGTTGGTTGTTTTTCTTCTTCCTCTCTTTGCTCTAAATTGAAATTGAGTTCCATGTCATCTGTTTGCAAAGGTTTTCCTCCCTTCTTTTCTTTCTTCAATGGACCACTCACACTTTTAGAGTAACAAAACATCATTTAAATGAAATGTACAAGGCAATAGCCATTGAGCTCAGTACATTAAATATTTATCAATACAGTAGTACAAGTTTGTGAAATAAACATCAGATCCTGTAAATTTAATAGTTTCCTGTAAAAGAAAAAAAAAATCCTCTCCAAGCTTTTGCAGCTCAGAGTATGGGGCTTAACAAATAAATAGTTCATAGTGTGCCAAAATCAAATTGCCAAATGACTGACTACATCCTACACTGCAGAAGGAAAAGGCCACTATTGTTTATACGTGTGTTTCATTTGATATTTGACACAAACTAACTTTTCAAATCAAATATGCTAAATTACAAGTGCACTGGGGTGCTTTGATCTTTCTGGTTCGGAAGCTTTGCAGAATTGGGCTGTTTGAGGGATACTATCCTGGCTTCAGTTGGTTCTAAAGAGTTCTGATAGCAAGAACTAAAGGTAATTTGTGCCTCCAGGTGGTATAAATTCCAGGCTTTACTATACATATACATAAATTCAAAGATCCACACAGCCAAGGAAAGAAGCTCTCTTGGGCCCAAAATGAAATCCTCCCCATGTGAGAGGGCTCACGGGTGATTTACAAGGACACTCCAGCTCTGCTACACAGGTGCCCCCTGTTCTCTTTATTTAGGCCATGTTGCCACACATTATGTGGGGCTGACCTCAAATTAACCCATTATTTATTTAGCTTATCCTGTCCAGCTCCATATGAAGGAAAGCATGAGACACCATCCCTGCCCTCAGAATTCATGTCGTTGGAGAACTACCTATATAATTAAACTCCCAACTGTGTGTACTGAGAAGTGCTAACACTAGAGTTAATATGTCTGTGCCAGACGCTGTGCTGTGTTTTCCAGAGATTGTCTATTTCATCTTCTCAGCAGCCCCATGAGGTCAGTCAGATTATCCCCGTTTTACAAACGAAGATTCTGAGTCTGAGAATGAATAACATCCCAGGTCACAGAGCTAAATGTAGGCTTGAGTATGCAACCAAGTCAGTGTGAATCCAGCCCAACCCCGGCACTTCTCCCTCCAACCTGTCACGTCCCTGTTCCCTGTACCCACAAATATACTTCAGTGCAAATCGGAAAAGGTGTTTACTATCTGTACTTCATGGAAGAATATGACCCCTTTCTTAAATGAAACTGACTTTGTCTTTATAAAAAAAAGTTGTCATATAGGTCAGCTTCTCTTCTAACTGACCTATTCTTTCCTTTTTACTGCTTTGTTAGCAGTAAATCAAGATTCTACTGAGTTCTCAGAGATCCCAAGTTACATTCTTATAGGTTGACAAGACAAAGTAAATGTTAAACAACCAGGCACTTGGGGTAAAGAGGAACAGAAAGAAAATTAGAAATACTGCCACATGTATGCAGCACAGCACTGCCCACCAGGTGGAAGAGGTAGCTGATATTTTTCCAAACAAGAAATTGACACAGCTAGACGGGGTTTCAGCTCTCCGTAAGTCTGCT